GATCGATTCTTCTCCTGATTTCCGTCTGAGGGAGTGGAACAGATAGATGTGCTCTGGAGCCCATGGCCTCAGGGGCTACTTTACGCCTTTTCCCCTCTGCCTCTTCTCCCGGCCGTAATACGCAAACTCCTTCAGGAACGAGCCGAGGTACTCCTGGTGGCCCCATACTGGCCAAGGAGACCTTGGTTCGCCGACCTGAGAAGCCTATCCCTCATGGATCCTTGCTGGATCCCCCGGACAAGGTCTCACTCAGTCAAGGGGTGATTCTACACCCGGACCCGCAGTGGTTACAACTAGCCGTCTGGCACTTGAACGCTCGATCTTAGCAAGGGGACTTTGTTTGCAAGGGGTCATCAGAGTAATTCAGGCTTCTCGACGCCCTTCCACGAACCGCATTTACGAGGCTACGTGGAAGAATTTTCAATCATGGTGCTCTGGCCAGCACCTGAACATCGGGGAACTTACGGTTCCCAACATCTTGGAATTTTTGTTAAGTGGCCTGGAAAGGGGTCTGGCTCCAAACACATTACGCAGACAAATCGCCGCCCTTTCCACAATTCTATCGTGCAACTCCGGGGAGTCTCTGGGTCATCATCCTTTACTCCGTTCATGCCTTAAAGGGGCAGCGAACATCAGGCCACCCACTGTACACAGGTATCCTTCGTGGGATCTATCACGGGTCCTACGGGCACTTACCAGGGCACCGTTTGAACCACTGAAAAGATGTGACATCCGCTACCTAACCCACAAGGTAGCATTCTTGGTAGCCGTTACATCGGCTCGTCGTATCTCCGAGTTTCCGCGCTCTCAATAAGGAACGATCTGTGTTGCTTCCACAGGGATCAAGTAATCCTGCGACTAGATCCCACTTTCATTCCAAAGGTCAATTCCTTATTTCACAGGTCACAGGAGATAGTCGTACCAGATTTTTGCCCAAATCCAACACACAACCGGGAACGTCAATGGCATATATTGGACATCCGTAGGGCTCTGAGGTACTACATTTCACGGGCAGTGGAATTCCACAGTTCAGAGGCTCTCTTCATATCCTTCCACCCTTCTTCCAGGGGTCGGAAAGTCTCCTCTTCCACTATTGGAAGGTGGATCAGAGCATGCATTGCCGGGGCATATCAGATAGAGGCCTTACTGGTCCCCAGTCGGATCACGGCACACTCTACAAGGATTGCAGCCACTTCGGCGGGTAAGCCTCCATTGAGGAAGTATGTAGAGCGGCCACTTGGATCAATAGGTTTTCCTCTGCAGAGGCCTTCTTTGGTAGGAGAGTTCTGCAGCAGGTTTTAGACCAAAGTTCCACACAGGACGAGGCTATTTCCCACCCTCAGGGATAATAAGCTTTGGTATGTCCCATTGGTGGATTATCCATCTCCAGTGCTGGAGAAGGGGCATTGTCTTACCTGAATGCCTTTTCTCAGCACGGAGATGGAGAATCCACTCCCACCCTTATAGGTCACGTAGGTGTAGGGTTAGTTGTTTTTTTTTGTGAGCCACAACGTCTTGCTGTCAGTCAATGGCTTCGCTCGTGTCAAGACTGGGATCTCATGGTCCAGGACGGGCGTGGCAACTTTGGCTGACTGATCTGATTGGGCAGGAATACAGTCTCAACCCATTGGTGGATTCTCCATCTCCGTGCTGAGAAAAGGCGTTCAGGTAAGACAATACCCCTTTTATTTATTTATTAAATTCATATTCTGTCCATCTCAATGTTTATGTAGTGTGTGTTAATGCCTTTCCGCATATTACTCTTTCCTGTAAACAAATACTTTTTAATCACATTTCTGTCTACCACCAGTTCTTGCTTAGCCAAGTTTAAGTCACTTTAGGATCTTAGTCCTCTGTAGGCACATCAATAGACTGCATTTTACCCCATAGCAAGAAGAATGAGTGGTTAGTCATGATGTCCCTGTATTGAAGTGAAAGCTTCTGTGAGAAGACAATTGCTAGGTTACATCAGGAGAACATTGGATAAAGAGAGATGAAAAGCTGAACAGCTGAATTCACTAGCTCTTTTTCCACTCATTCCAGAGCAGTGTGCTGGTTTCAGACAGCACTTTTCAGTTAGTCAACTGGGCATATTATTGACTTTATTTCTTTTTTGGAAGGAAGAAACTGGAATATAATGTTTTCTTCTGATCTCTGGAATGTTTTTTTATGTACGAGTTTTACAATAATTTCGACTGAAAGAATGAGCCACTTGGCTATTGATTACTGTGTCTCCTTTCTCATATGCTGTGACGTGGAATACATTACTTCCTTTTCCTTTTCATTCTAGCATGTTCACTTTCATTGGTTTACAAATGAATGGATATTCTGGCATGATTTTTCCTCAACCTGATCATTAATCATGTGATAAACAGCTACTATGTTCATAGAGGTTACTTTTTGCTCAAACATGGATCGCTTTAGGTTTAGTCAACCTTCATATATAAGGCAAATGATTACTCTTAAGATTCAATCTAATCAGAAAAAGGGCTTTTAAAATTTAGTATTGTAAATTCCAGTTTCTAGTTTACCAAGAAGTAGGTTGTGGTCTTAAAGTAGACCACAACCTATTTCTTGGTAAACTAGAAAAAATTGGGATAAACAGCATCACCACCAGATGGATTTGTAACTGACTGACAAACCATACTCAATGAGTAATCCTTAATGGTACTACATCTACATGGAGTAAATAAGCAGTGGGGTTCCTCAAGGTTCCCTCTTAGGCCCACTACTCTACAATATCTTCATAAATGAATTAGATGAAGGAATAGAAGGGGAACTCATCAAATTTGCAGATGACACTAAGCTGACAGGAATAGCCAACACCCCAGAAGACAAGTTCAGGATCCAAAAGGATCTTGACAGACTTGAACAATGGGCCTATCCAACAACATGAAATTTAATGTGGAGAAAAGCAAGGTTTTACACCTAGGTAGGAAAAATCAAAGGTACAAGTACAGATTAGATGAAACCTGACTCAAAAACAATAACTATGAGAGGGACCTTGGAGTCCTAGTGGATGATCACTTAAACATGAGCCAGCAGTGTGTCGCAGCAATCAAAAAGGCTAATACAATCCTTGGTTGCTTAAACAGAAGCATAGAATCAAAATCACATGAAGTATTAGAACCACTTTATAAATCCATAAGTAAGAGCGCACCTGAAATATTGCATCCAGTTTTGCTCATCACATTGGAAAAAAAGATATTGAGACTCTGGAAAGAGTTCAGAGAAAAGCAACAAAGATAATTAAAGACCTGGAGACTAAAACATATGAAGAATGGTTGCAGGAATTGGGTATGACCAGTCTAGAGAAAAGAAGGACTAGGGGTAACATGATAGCAGTATTCCAGTATTTGAGGGGCTGCCACAAAGAGGAGGGGGTCAACTTATTCTGCAAACCACCAGAAGGCAAGACAAGAAACAATGGATAAAAACTAATCGAGGAGGGAAGCAATCTGGAATTAAGGAGAAACTTCCTAACAGTGAGGACAATTAACCAGTGGAACAGCTTGCCTTCAGAAGTTGTAAGATGTTTCATCACTGGAAGCTTTTAAGAAAAGACTGGACAGCCATCTATCTGAAATAGTATAAGGTCTGCTGCTTGAGTAGGAGGTTGGACTAGAAGACCTCCAAAGTCCCTTCCAGGTATATTCTGATTGATTGACTTCAGCATTACTTGAATACAACCTTTTAAAAATTTGATGCTTGACCTTTTGTTTGCTACTAAAGACTGTGAAATCCCTCCTGCTATTAGCAGAAATCTATCTATTCTCTCATGGCAATTGATCACCCCCAAGAAATTTGTACCAGATTTTTTTTATGTCTATACAGTTTCTTAATTAAAAAATATTGAGCAAGATGCTTCAGGCTGTGATGGTAATCCAATATCAGTCTCACTTCTAGAAAAAACTAAAATGTAGGAGGGAGTGCTTTGTACATCTTTAGTTTTTGGAGAAAAGAAGGGACATAAATCTAACAAAGGTTTAGATCCTTTACATTACAGTATGGAAAGAAGCCATTTGATTCCTGGACCAATGGATTCCTGAACTGTCTAGACCCTACATAAAACTTTAATTTTTACATGAAATAATGGGAGATTGCAGTTGAGTACTTTTTGCATGCCAAATCAAAACAAGAAAGAATTTATTGGTGATCAGGAAATGCTGAATTTGTAGGAGGAGAACCATTTTAATCTGCAGATGTCAATAATCAGAAATGGTCTAGTAATACAGGTAGTCCTTGACTTACAATCATTTGTTTAGTGACCATTCAAAGTTACAACAGCACTGAAAAAAGTGATTTATGTCTTTTTCACACTTACAACTGTTGCAGCATCCCCATGGTCACATGATTAAAGTTCATGGCAGTTGACTCATATTTATGACACTTGTAGTGTCCCAGGGTCATGTGATCCTCTTTTGCAATCTTTTGAGAAGCAAAATCAGTGGGGAAGACAGATTCACTTAACTGGGTTATTAACTTAAGAACTGTGACGATTCCCTTCAAAACTGTGGCAAGAAAGCTTGTAAAATGGGGCAAAACTCTCTTAGCAACAGAAAGTTTGGACCCAATTATTGCAAGTCGAGGACTACCTGTACTTTTTAAGACTAACAATTTTGTAAATAAGATTTTGTGAACTACCTCAGTTTGCCTCACTCAGTTTTCCTCATCTCAGCATGTTTAAATCTTACATCAATCAGGCCCTTCCATATGTGTTGATTAAACTAGCTCACAATAGCTTATGCCTTATAGTATATTGGTTATCTTATAAGGTCTTTCTGAAGTGCTAAATGTAACCTTTGAACTTCAAATCATTTGGGAATAAGATATTTGAACATTTTTAAATAGCCCTGCTTTGCACTGTTTTGAATCCTAAAAGTTCATTTTTAATATTTAATATTATACCTCAGTAGTTAAGGGCATGTTAAGTACTGTATAAGAAATGAGATTTGCTTAAGTCATACAGCAATGAGACTTTCTGCATTCTTTTTCAACAGTAAGTTTCCACCAAGTCTTCATGCTCTCGTGATTTCCGAAGCTCATCAGGATGAAATAGCCAGGGGATTCCTAATGTCACTGGATTCTCTTCTCCTCCCGTTACTTTCCTTTAGACCTTTTGTAGAAGTTGTGTTAAGTAAAACTTCAGGTAGGTTTAAAGTCCTGACTGTGCTCCTGCTTAATTCAATTTCTTTTATTTTCTTATTGTAGCTAATGGGATTTTCATACAAGAACAAAGTAAGAAATATGTTAGCTGCATCTGATTTCTTTACTTTTTTAGGTACATCGTAGCTCAAGCATGAGTAATCATGATTGGTTCTAAATCTTCAAACTGCTAATTATAACTGAGATTAACTACCAAAGCAGTAAATAAAGAAAATGCAGTTTAAACTTTTGGAAAACCAACAGCAAATATTTTAAAAAGATAGGTTTCCTAGTAAGATAGTTTAGATTGGCATTACAAATTTCAGTTCCATGTACTATCAAGATATAAATTCTAGTATTTCTAGGACTGTACATTTTTGTGGATTTGTTAGGCCTGTCAAACTTGAGAAGTCAATAAAAATATCTATTTGCTTTGTTATTTATTTAACCAAAATGCATTTGCTGTCTCCTTTTCCAAACTTCAGCTCTCTCTCCTGAGCTGCATTTTCCACAGTGTCAGCTTCTTCTTTCTATAATGGACATGTTACCATCCCAGTCCCAGGATGTGCAGGCTCTGTGGAACAGAGGAAGTCAGCTCCCAGAAGAGATTCCCAGGTACTTTCTTGCTACTGCCATGAATCTGTGTTGGCATGTGTGGATGTATGTGAGCCTGATTATTTTCTGCTGATAAGCCAAGACCTTGCTACATCCTGAACTTGCTTTATGAAAACAGATTACATTGTTTTAGTGAAGGAAATGTAGTATTTGGTTTTAATGAAGCAAGTGGAATTCAACAATGAGTTTTAAATTAATCTATTTACAATACTAACGATGACATACTAATTTATATTTGACCTATATAATTGGTGTCATCCTTGAGTTTGTTTTTTCCGGAAATCTAATGATTAATAATATGCTTAAATCTCTATTTGTTTTAGTGATGTGTGAGGATGAGTACCAAGGATCTTTGTAGAGCATGAACTCTTCTATTCTGTTTCTTCACAGGTTGCCCTTGTTTGCAGCCCTACTGCTCAGTCTTCAGCAGTGCTCTAGTGAGCTCTCCCTTCCTCTCTTCTTGCAAAGAGCAAGAGAGACGGAGCAAACTAAGGGTCCTTTCACCTTTTACCACTATGTTTGTATCCACTTGTGTACCTTTATAACATCCCTCTCGGTGTCACATTTCCATTTACTGGTAAGGAATATTGCAACTCTTAACTTGGAAGAGTGTTTGAATGTTTAAATCAGGCATTTATTTTGGGAGATTTGGATAGATCATGCTTCATTAATATGGATTACACTAGTACAATCAATAATCTGATTTAAAAATAAAAAATGCACTCATCACACATTATATTATCATTATTAAAATTGAGCTCTTATTAGCTTCAACTTTTCAGTGCATTGTTGCTCTTTCCTCCATCTATTTCTCCATTGCCCCTGATCCAAGTAAATTATTAATTATTTATCACACTAACACCTTACTCAGAATATATCTTCTCTAAGGCTAACATTTCATATTGTAGCCTTGTGTTATTTGATGGTAATAATGTGATATACATGGCCAGAAGTCTAGTCTTTCTCCCAAATAAAATCATGATTTCTTAATGCAACAATCATTATATATAATTTCAAAATATGCTCAAAACTGCTAGTCAAATCCTAAAGTATTTTTCTATAGTTCTATTTGGCTGAGAGTCTACCTTTTCCCTTTACTGATTATGGGATGACAATTAAAAAAACAACTTTTTGTTTCTCTGTGTTTGTTATCTATTTAATGTTTAGGAATCTTCTCTGCTGGAAACCGTACTAGGTCCAAATATGATCATGGCTCTCCTAGCTATGGATGTCTGGTGCTTCCTTGTCCGGTAAGATCAAAGGTTTGCTAAAGGGTGAAGTGTACAACAGAGTGACACAAGAGCTGCTTATCTACTTATCCTTTACATTTGAAAATCAAGAAGGTTATTCCATTTTCTTCCATTCAGGATAAAAATGTGCTTGCTTAGAACTAAATAACAATTTGAGTTCAAATGTTCCCACTGAAAGATCATTCCAGAGTAATAGCGATTGGTTGGTCATGAATTTATATACTAATCTTGCTGTCTTTCTCATCTTCTAGATATGGAACAGAAGACCTGTGTGCACACCATGCATTTATAATAGCACATGTAGTAAGCAGCATTTGGTTTTCTTATAAAAAGCTAATTTGAACAGAGCAAAAATAGTAAAGTCAGGCAAAAAACAATGTGAAGTTTAAATGGTCTTATTTCAGAGTTTTGATACTTTGGAAAACGTTATTTTATAATATAGGAAAATGTTAATTCCCCCCCCTCCTTTGCCTGACTTGCTTATATATAAAGTGGAAAATGCTGGTTTTGTAATTTAGAAAAATAGGAGTAAAGAAAAAATAGTCAAACTGATTACTGCACTGGTGATGCTGGGAACATATCTAAGCGGAGTGCTTTCAAATTACTTAAAGCTGTATTTCTGGCCAAGCCAGTGTTTCTTTTGGGGGCTCTTTCTCTGAAATGTTGTGACTTGGAAGAAAGGCTTTTGGAGTGCTCAGTTGTGATTAACTTTGGTAGGCATTTTTTTTAAAATGCATTTGGTATTTTTACTTAAGCTGTCAGGGGACTTACTAAGCCATTTCTTGTCTTTTGTCTGCTCTGATATTAAACTTCTGAATAAGAAGGAATTCTTGTTTCTACATATAAAAACAAAATAAATGCATTTGAAGTGGTTGATCTGAAAGGGATATTGGTTAGTTAGGTTAGATAGTCTTTATGGCAGACGTTCTGCATTTCTGATTTCGAGTCTATAAATGTTAAAGAGATAATTATGATGATGGATTAATTGCTGCCTAAAATTAGGCCAATATGTGCAAAGGTGCAGATTCTGAACATTCAGATGAAGTTGATTGAATATTGTTTCATTTAAAAACCATCTGTTTTGTATCCAAATTTAGGTAAAAGCTTGTCCTGCTGAATGTTATCAAGTCTCTCTCTTAGGGGTGCTATTACGACGTTTGCTCTTTCTGATGGCCCCAGATCACCAGGCAAGTCTCTCCTGATGTGGGTCAGTTTATAAATAATGAGCTTTCTTCAATGTGAATCAGCTAACATGAATCAGTTTTTTGTTCGTCTGCAATGAATGGTAAAATATACTTGCTCATTATTGCAGGATAGTTTATTTCTGATGCTTAATTATAATATGGAATGAAAAAGAAAGATTTTCTTTCTCTTTAATTTGACTATCAATTACTTTTCTACCTGGTATGAAATATTTAAGATGGCTAGAAATATCTTTCAATGTTCCTCATTGTGACCTCCTTGTTTCTATCATGGGCCCTTTGTTGGCTACTCATGGTGTCATTTAGAATATTTTAGAGCAGGGTGGACAACAGCCAGTAGTCTCTGTACAGTTCCCAGGGCTCCTGTCATTACTGAAATTAGTGTCACAATTCCCATCATTTGGAGACAACCAACACATGGAAATATTGTATAAGTCCCCAAATGGGTTTTGCATACCTTAAAAATCAGAACCCTTCTCACAAAACAAAACAAAAAAAACCCTCTTCTGAAAACTAGGCAGATCCACCCACCCCTTTGGTTCTATATTTGGTAAACAGCTTACAAATGATGATAGCCTGCAAGTGACACTGGAGGCTTGGGAAAGAGTCTTGCTTGTATCTGTATGAGAAGAGGAATAATTGAACGTGACTCCAGAAAATCACTGGGCAAAGGTTGTGAATAGTTGCATTCCTCAGAGCATCTAATAGTACTGACTGAAGTTTATAGCCTTTCTTTTAGCATTAAAAGTATAAATACTCTTTAGACTTATTGTTATGGGTAGATTTTTAATCTTTGAAAGAAAGAGCAAGTTATATCCTGGATGGAAGAGTAAACTGTTGATTTTTTTTTCTACTTTCATATAGCGCTTATCCTATGCTTTTGTTTTTATTTCTCTGTAGTTAAGATTCACCCAAAGGTTTCCTCCAAAAGATTCTGAAAACCTACTACTGTGGCAGCACCTTTCTCTCCAGGCTCTGTTACCGTTGCACAGGCAGCAGGTTGCTCATGAACTTTTTGTGGCAGGACTTGTGCAATGTCAGGAATGGATGAATAGTGAAAAGTCATTGAATGAACTTCCACAAGTGGTGAGAAAAAGTGTGACTCAAAGGATTCTTTTTATGAATTAACAACTCATGGGGATTATTTTGTCTTCCTTGGTTCCTATCTTTTCTGAGAAGCCTACACATATAGACAGATAGACCAATATTTTCATAAATGAGGTATAATGTTTTCTGGCTTTACAAGAGGAGTGGCCTGACTATATCCAGCACCATCTACTACAGTGAATCTCCATGAAGGATGGAGACTTCTGAATTACAAAGCTATCATTTGAAAAGAGAATGCAGTTAGCTATTTTTCTCTGTGGTTGCAGAAAAAAAACAGAGCAAACAGAAATCTTCTGCTGCTTTTAGAGAACAGAATATTCCAACAAAAAATCAATATAATTAATTTACTTTAATTTTGCTTTTTATAGCCTCTAAACCTCTCTTTAAGTTCTTGTACTAGGCCAGTGCTTCTCAATCTTAGCAACTTTAGGAAGTGTGGCTTTTAACTCCAGAATTCCTCAGGCAGTTTGAAGTCCAGACATCTTAAAAGTTGCTGAGATTGAGAAGCACTGCACCAGGCATTTAATCTTGGAAGATAATTTCATTAGAACTCCATTCTGGAGGAGCTGTTCTGTTGCAGGAAGACTCGTACATTATTTCTATCTTCTTACAATTCTTTCCTCGGTTGCTAGAACATGGCTCTCTCAGCCTTGCTGTCTATGTGCCAGAGTGCTAGGGATACCCTGGAGGAAGAAGACCAAGCAGCACTGGTAGAAGCTCTTAGCCAAATTGCAGTTCATCTGCCAGCTACGCAGGTAAAGAATGTTAATTTCAGCTGCATTTGCTTGACTTCTTTAGATGTAATGAGGGGGGTATACAATTTTTTTTGCTAGGGAAATGGAAATCATATTCCATCTTATTCTTTTTAAATATATACATATATATATATTTTACATAATCACCTTAATATTTGGTAAACATCGTGTTGTCTCGATTTATACTTAAAAAACAATAATTAGTTTCTATAATTCTATAGTCTACAGAATAGCTTTGCTTGATGTTCTCTTCTTCCAAAAATGTTCTCTTTTGCCATCCTTGAATTAATACAATTCTTATTATTTGGGTAAATAACAATTAAATATAGACATTTTTCTAATATTTCTGCAAATAATAACCACATTGATATAAAACTTCTAACTAATCATCTTGATTGCCTTATTATAGATCCTGTTTAAAATTCTTATTTAAATTTGTTTTCCCCACAATATTCTTACTGGTTAAGATTTTCATTACACTTAAGTATTTAAGTCTTTTTCCTCATACAGACCATCCCAACACTTTTACATTTCTCATATCGTAAAAAAAGAGAAAAAAAGAAGATAATATACTACTTAAAATACAAATCCTTCTAATAATGTACATTTATATCCAGAATTTTTCTCTTCTTTTTAACCATATTTAAGCATAGGTTTAATCTTTAAGTGTTCCATTTAAATAAATCAATTATCTAATCTTTTAGATCTAATCAAAGCATTTTATCCATTCAAAGTTTTCTCAAGATCAATTTCACTTAAGTATCTAAAACATTTCCTTTATATAAACCATTACAACGTTTTTATATTTCTCATGTCAAAAAACAAAACACAAAGGGGAAAAAAAGGAAAAATACTATATTATTTGAGGGGCTCATCCCTCTTAAACTAAAAATCATTTATATCCAAAATATTTCTATTTCTTTAACCATATTCAAACAGATGTTTAATTTTCAAATTTCCCTCTGATAGATCCCATCATCTAATTTCTTGGTTCTTACTTTAGCCTTTTTTATTTTGCCAGAAATTTTTCCTGATCAATATGTTTCTCTGAATCAAAGAGTCTTCCCATAGTTTTGTGGATGTTGTTGTAGATATAAAAGACAAATCAGGTGAGATGTTTTTATAGGAAAGTTTCGCCTCTTCATATTCATTGATTTTTTCCCCCTTTCTTTCTCTTTTAATTTCTCTTATCATTTTTTATCTCTTAAGTTCTTGTAGTTCTCCTGGTAGCTCTGTAATCCGTTTTGTCAAACCTTTTTTCTTGTCCTCAGACTTATTTTATGATCTTAAAGTATAAATTATCTTTTCCATGTCCATTATTTCCTGTAATTTTTTTTCCACCTGGGTTGAGTCATACTTCCTTCTATTGTTAAGTTCCATGTTTAAATCGCTCTTCTCTGGTTCATCAGTTGTCTGTTTTATCTGCTCACTCTCTATTTTTATTTTCTGAGAGTTTTTTGTTGTAAAGTTAAATTAGAGATGCATTCATTTACATTTTCAAAGTTATTTTTAATTTCCTCGTGGTTTGAGATCATTGTTGTTTGAATTAGTTGCAACATAGCATATATCTCCTTCTGGAAAGTGTTTGTTTTTTTCTTCGTATATTCTTTCTGCAGATCTTTGGTTTTCCATGATAGCCAAAAATCAGGGTTTTCCTTTCTCTACAGACAGCTTTAATGTCACAGTTTAATAAGTATTTGTAATCCAGAAAGGTCAATTTTTTAAAAAAGTTTATAGTACTCTCTTGTGAATAGTCCAAGATGTTTTCTTTTTATCACAGCTGTTCTCTGTTATTAAGATATTGAAGGTCACCCAAAAACAAATTATCTTTTCCTGGGCTTTGCCAGTTCCTGTATTGAAACAACTAGTATATTTTCATCCACCACTAGATGTCAGCACTAGTTTTTTTTCCAGTTTTCAAAATAAACAATTATTTTCTTCTATTTTCATGATTTAAAAAAGAAATCTTAACACATTCCACCAATTTCAAACTTATCTAGATTTAGGTCTCATATTCATTTCATTTCAGTATATTTCTGTCCCCACTTAAAGATTTAATTCCTACAACTTCCGTCTGTAGGAGGGTGGGGCAATCTCCCCCTCCTCACTTTCGAAGGCTTTTTGCTTCTTGGTTTGGTTTTTTTCCCCCAGAAAATCAATTATCAAGTAGAAGAGAGAAAATCACTGTTCTTACCCAGTTCCAAGCACATTGTTTACAGTCAGCTTAAAATAGTGCTTTTGGGCTTCGGCTGCTTGTAGCTTGGGCTAGACTCTGAAGTTAAGCTAGTCTTTCTCCTGCTGGTTTCTGGAAGGCTTTTCCTGGACTGATTGGATTGACCGCCATCTCTCTTCCCTCCTTTTTATTGGCTCTACAGGGCGACTTCAGGCCCATTTAGGGTCCCCTAACAGGCAGAAATTGGCTGTAGGATGCAGAGCCCTGCGATTCCTCTGCTGCTGCACTACTGCGCCCATCTTATTCTTGCTTTTTGTTACAATACCTGTAGTTCTACCTCATTGTAATAGCTTCTCAGGACAAATCAAACATCATATAAGATGTGATTGCAATAATGTCTGTTGTAGGCCAGAAGAAAAATGTTCTGTGCAGCCCCATTTCTCTTTGTCAAAATGACTGTTTTCAGTGGCATGATATTTTTTCCTCCATTTTCTATGAAATAAGCCCTTAAACAAGTGTATTAAGCCTTTCTCCTTATATCACTACCATGATCCTTGAAATCTCAGAAGCCAATGGAGAATAATTTTTTAAAACTGGATCCTCTTATATAGAAGGTAGTTTAATTCATAATTCACTATACAAGAAGAGTACATGCTCTGTAAGTTTTAAAATGTGGATTTTAATAAGCTGATCAATAATAAAATTGATTGCTGCAATAAAAAAATTATATATCACTTGCTGACATTAATATTAGTAGTTCCAGAATCTTGTTTAAACAGTGAAATGGATGCTTGGGGTGACACAAAATGTTACTCTTATCAATTAAGATATCCAGTCTAGCCTGTTTCCAGCAGACGTTTTGCTTGACACTTCAACTTGTCCAGCTGTTCATTGAAAGATTAGAACCACAGTTGCTACTTCAGGTAAGAAAATATTTGGTGGGTAGTCTTGATTTATATACAGAATTGACTAATTGTCAGAATCCAATTATATTTCATCTCTAGTTATCGACTATGGAAAACCCCATTTCTGCCCTCTCTGGATTCTGTCATACTATGAAGGGGAAGGGGGATGAGCAAAGGGGTTTTATGGCTCTCACTTCCTCCGGTATAACTTCAAAGGGACTGAATGTGGATATCACCAAAAAGACTAACCATAAAATAGGGCCCATCACCTTTCATCTACTCCTCTCTGAAGTCTCCCTTCCTCCGGCCGTGAGGAAAAAGGGGGTGGAAATGTAACGCCTGGGATTGTCGCTGGAAGGATGGTGGGTGGGGGGGCTGCTTGGGACCACTTAAAACCTTGAATGGGAGGACTTGGGCCCCAGGTCCTGTCTAGAACGCCTATAACCATCTTCTCTTAATAAAGATGCCTGTTGGAAGAAATATTCCAAGAGTTCTGTCTTCTTAAGATGCAAAGTGGGGTAGGTCCTTACACTAATGTACTGTTTTTCAAAGCTAGTTTTAGTTAAATATACATAATGTATAAATAAATAATCTGGGATTGTATCAATTATGGGATTGTGAAAATGCCACATTCTTGCCATTCCTTATCAAATTATGGAAGTCTTGCAAAAAATAAGCCAAGCTACTTCATCCTTCCTAAAGTTAGTATTTCCCTTTTCAATTAATAACTCCAAATTAAAACATCTGAGACAAATGACAGCTAACCTACATTTGAACGCAACCAGTGAAAATGAGCCCTCTATCTCTGGTAGCTGGTTCTGCTATCAAAATATTCTCACTATTAAAAAGTTCTTCCTAACATGCCATCAGAATCTTCGGTCCTCTAATTTTTTTTTTCTATGATCTACTCTCTGGATTAGAACAAGAAAAAACAGATCTTTACTTTCTTCTGTGTGACATCTTTTCTGGTATTTGAATTCTGCTATGTTTCTCCATCTTTTCTTTAAGACTAAAAATAATTTTTCACAATTAACATCACCAGGAATAGTACTCACCATCCTATTCCTATGCATTTGATTTGTTTATTAAATCTTAATTTTTCATGTGTCACAAATATGGCCATGTGCTTTTCTTGCTTAACGACAGTGCAGGATTTGCTTAATGATGGCAATCATTATTGCCAGAATTGCTGTTGCTAAGCGGTGTAGCCACATGACATTGTACTTTTCAACGGTGCCATTACTGAAGGAAATTCAATAATAAAATTGCTGTTGTTAACAGAGGACTACCTGTAATTTTGTTCCATTTTAGTTTAGGCTCACATTTTGAATGGGTATAGTGTTACAATATATTGATGACATTGACTTCCATTTCTGTGTTAGCATAAAATCAGAACAAATCAAACAATATATGTGTGTGAGAATGTGATAGGACTATTTCAGTTATGAGAGAAAGTATAAACTCAGTCCAAAATGACCTGCTACTTACATAAATGGGTTTTTCAGAATGCTTCATCACTCATTTCTTATTTTACTGAATAGTATATTCAATAGTGTCTTCATGAGCTAAAGGTAGGCAGTTTATCTTATAAAAAGGAAGAAAGGATAAATGTCTGACCAAATTTAATCTTGATCATAAAAAGCAGTATAAAGATTTTTCAGTATAATGTATTTTCTGCATTTTTTTAAATTTTTGATACTTATTTTCTCCATAGATACTTTCACTACAATGTTCCCTTTTGCAATTGAATTCCCCTGATCATGTTGTGATTGCAGTCTTAGATTTTCTTTCTTCAGTGGGAAAACCTATCATTCCTCCAGATTTCCAGGTAAATAAAACAAACTGTCACTCTGTTCTTTCTTTTCTGTATGTAATCTTTGGAACTGTTACAGTAAAAATAAGGAATAGAAGTTGAGATATTACTTTTCAGCACTGGCTCCTGAATACTATATTAATACAAAGAGAAATAATGATTGTTCTTTGAGCTCCATGCAGTCAAGCATGCAGATCTACATTTAGATAAAATGTCCTAAAGCTGAGAAATGTTTTGACAGAAGGCAGAATTCCCTCCCAGTCTTCAATAACCAATGTAGAGGCTATGTACAGCTCCAGTGGAGAGGGAAAGCGTGCTACCATTTACAGATAACCAGTCTGTCCTCTTGTTATATCTGCATCATGTACATGTATTAAGATAATATGAGCTATTATAATTATTGAAGTTACAAAACTGTATGTCTTAAAATGACATCTAAATTAACTCTATTTAGTTGGTAATGATAAAGTTTCAGGTCAAGCCAAAGTCTGGGTAAATCTATCCATAGAAAGGCATGGACAAACCAGTTGTTGTGGCAGAATAGGAAGAAGAGGGAGCCAATTTAGTTTACTGGTAATACATTATATGGAAGAACTTACCTAACAAGAAGTTTGAATGAAATGAGAATGCTTGCCTTAGCCCAGGAGTAGGCAACCCAAAACGCTCAAAGAGCCACTTGGACATGTTTCCCACCGAAAACAAAACATTGGGAGCAGCAAAACCCTTTTGCTATCTAAAATGAAGATGGGCAGCTGCACCAGCAACGGGGAATGCCGCCGCAGGGACAAGAGAGTGTCTCAACCCACTGCCCTCGCAGCCCAAGGTCTCCTTCTCCTGCAGCACCGAGGGCGGCAGCGGGAGGACGGCGAAGTGGCACGGCTGCCCGCTCATTGCCGCCTCTTTGGCCTCGCTCAGCGCAACCAGCAGCAGCGGCAACAGGAGGACGGACAAGAGGACCATGCAGCAGGTGGGGAAAGGGCCTGGCAGGCACCACGGAGGAATCTGGTGCCCGTGAGACGGCCGAAAGGAGCAGGCGGAGAGGGGAAGCTACAGAGACCCCGGTGACCCCCACGACTAACAGGCAGCGGCGGAGCAGGGCGAGGGGAGACCCGCCGGGCAGGGAAGAGGTACCCCGAGAGCAGCCACCCGCAGCTCCTTACCAGGGACACCTTTTCAGCAATCCTTCCGGCCACCACGTGCAGTACAAAGAAGGAAAGAGGTTTGTGGGTTGAACTTTTTTAATCCCACTTTTTTTTTTCAGACTGCACATGGTGGCTGAGGACAGGGAGCCACAGGAGACGGCTGAAAGAGTCGCATGCGGCTCCAGAACCCCGGGTTGCCAACCCGTGCCTTAGCCCATAAATAGCAAAGACAAACCTTAAGAGTGTCAAAAAGAAGCAATTTTCTTGATGTTAATAGGAAATATTTCTGCAGATACCTATATCTCAGAACTAAAGAGAACTCTACAACCTTAAAGATCTTATTTGAGATCAGTATATCAAAATGCCTATCTGCTCAGAATAGCATACACACAGTTCTGGAAAAATGAGAATATACCATCCGAGGAAGAAGTGATAAGAAAAATCCTGGACTGTGCTGAGATGGACAAATTAACAAAAGAGATAAAAGAAAAGGAAGACCACAGAGTACTGTCTAATATGGAACAAGTGGTATGACTGACTGGAGACTAGAAATAATAGAGGAGAATAAATGTGGCAAGGTCAAAAGTGGAAAATGTGTGTATAATAATGTATAGTAATAATAATATGTATTATTCTTAGTATGAAGTATAGTATGAAGGAAGAAAAATGCAAATAAGAAACAACGGGGCGACAAGGACAAATATTCTAAAGAAGAATAAGGGGGGAAATGTAAATAATAGAAGATTACCGTTACGAAATCGCTGTTAAAAAAGGAGGAGTATATACTGTGTGTGTGTGTGTATTTTGTTTTGTTTTGTTTTGTTGGTTTAAAATATAAAAAATTAAAAAAAAATGCCTATCTGCTCAACATCAAAAGCATATAGCAGTGTGACCATGCAAAGACATTTGTGATGAAATGACATTGTGGAGAGCAAAAATAAATTGAGTCAAAATCAGGAAATCTTTCTCAGATACATGTTCTATTTCATTACATACAGGGATTATTGCCTGCTATAAGAATTCCCATAGAAGTCTGAAACAACCTATCTTTGTGGCAATAATGAAAACCATAGTCTGAATTGGTATATTCTGAGTTTGTCAGAATCCAGTGATATTTCATCTCTAGTTATTGACTATGGAAAACCCCATTTCTGCCTTCCCTGGATTCTGCCATACGGTGAAAGGAAGGGGGTGAACAAAGGGGCTTTACGGCCCTCACTTCCTTCAGTATAATTCAAAGAGACTGAATGTGGATATCGCCAAAAGGACTAAGCATAAGAATGGGGCTATTACCTTTCATGTAGTTCTCTCTGAAGTCTCCATCCAGCCGACAGTAAGGAAAAGGGGGTGGGAGCATAATGCCTGAGACTGTCGCTGGAAGAAGGGGGTGAATGGGTGGGGCTACTGGGGAACCCCATAGTCTGAATTGGTATATTCTGAGTTTGTCAGAATCCAATGATATTTCATCTCTAGTTATTGACTATGGAAAACCCCATTTCTGCCCTCTCTGGATTCTGTCATTCAATGAAGGGGAAGGGGGTGAACAAAGGGGTTTTATGGCCCTCACTTCCTTCGGTACAACTTCAAAGGGACTGAATGTGGATAACCACCAAAAGGACTAATCATAACAATGGGGCCATCAGCTTTCATCTACTCCTCTCTGAAGTCTCCCTTCCGCCAGCAGTGAGGAAAAGGGGTGGAAATGTAATGCATGGGATTGTCACTGGAAAGATGGGGGTGGGGTAGGCTGGTGGGGACTCCTTAAAACCTTGAACCGTAGGGCTTGGGCCCTAAGTCTTGTCTAGAACGCCTGCACCATTTTCTGTTAATAAAGATGCCTGTTGGAAGAAATATTCTAAGAGTTCTGTCTTCTTAAGATGCAAACTGGGGTGGGTCCTTACATTAGACAGGACTTGCAGAATTAGTCCACCTGGAAGGGAGAACCTTGCCGGGGGACTTTGCAAAAATTACCATATCAGACAACAGAGCAGGGAAGGGAGAAAACTCCCTGGGAAGGGAGCCGCTGCCCCAACTAAAACCCTGCCAGATGTCAGGATCTGAGAGGTCAGATTCCTCAGGAGAAGAGGTGGTGGAGACACGGGATCACAAACCTCGCTGGTCAATGGGCGTTGGAAAGAAAGACGAGTGGGAAAAGAAATCAAGAAAAGTGACCCCGAGACGGGGGGCCAACCAACCAGAATGGAAGCAGGAGATGGAGAAATTCCTGCATGCAAATGAAGAGGAAGGGAGCTGGGCACCATACTCCAACTGGATCCTAGAGAAAGCTATCAATGATGAAGAGAACTCTCACCTCCCTAGGAGAGGAGAATTCTGAGCCCTACGTCGCCCCAGCTCCTGGAGCCGCAAAGGGAGAGACACCGAGGAGGAAGTGGAACCTGCAGCCCCGGGGACATCAGCTGATCCAGTAGTCCTCACTCCCCGCCGACCCACAGATGGCAGTCTGGATGGAAGACACTACCACTGACAATGAAGGCAACAATCCATTCAAAGACTCCTGCCGCTGGACGTGAGATTCAAGGTGGAGCCAACATGCTTAGGGTTTTTCCTAACCCAAGTCCTCAGCTACATGGAGGAATACGGGCGGCACATCCCCAGCAACAAAGCCCGTATCCGGATCGTGCAATCTGCCCTGGACGGGCCAACCACAGATTTGGTGGTGAACTTGCATGACTCCAATACCCCAGAGCTCAACGACTTCAACCATTTCATGTCCTCTCTGAGAAGGTGATTTGAGGACCCTCTGGCTGATCGCAAAACCCGCAAAAGGATCAAAATGATGAGCCAAGGCAAACGCCCGGTAGCCGAATATACGCAATAATTCCGGGGCATTGCCAGCAAACTGAACTGGCCAGAAGACATCCTCCTTAGCCATTTCAAAGACAGACTAAATTATGACCTATATGACGCTTGCCTGCCCCGAGGGGACCCACACAAACTTGAGGAATGGTATGTCTTGGCAGAGGAAGCAGAAATCGACATACTGAAGAGACACCACCGAGGAAAACAATGGAGCCGCTTACCGCCTGAGTTGACACGTCAACCAGTGAAACCATCGGCTACGCCCATGAAGCAAATGGGGTGTTTCAAGTGCGGGAGAGAAGGGCATCGGGCTGTAGAATGCCGCTCCAAAGCACCCCAGCACAACCCAGACAGATCATTGGCCAGCAAATCTGGAAAGTCTCCAGCTAAGCCAAAAGAAACTGCCATGAGAATGATGGAGGCTGTGGAATCCCCCACCTCTGCTCATCAGGGGGAAAGAACTCCAGCCTACACCGCAAGGCCCGCTTGATGCCTCAGACGACAGCTCGGAGGGCAAACCTCTGGTAAGTGGACGCATCACACCCATCCTCAAGACAGTGACTATATTAATTCCCCCCATGCCCGAAGCCGTAAAGGTGAAAGCCTTAATAGACTCTGGTTGCACCCGCTGCCTCATTAGCCCGATGCTAGTGAGGAATCTGGGCATTCCGTCGAGACTGGAACAACCAATCTCATTTGGCCAGTTAGATGGGTCCATAGCAGGTGGGTGCCAGCTACCCTAGCCACTTTACCAATACGCCTCTCCCTGGGCAAACATGAGGAAGACATAACGTTTGTAGTGACCCCAGGAATGGAATCCCGATGATTCTAGGGATGGAATGGTTTAAAAAATGGAACCCCTGGTTGAATTGGAGGATGGCAGAAATCAAATTCCCGAAGGGGGACCCTATGGATTTAAAATCTCAAGGGGGGCGACCAGAATCAAGAACAGAAAAAGCATCCATGGGAGAGGAAAAGGGACTGCCAGAAATACCAGAAGAATACAGAGACCTTGCTGAAGTTTTCAGTGAGGAGAGGGTGGATGAGCTCCCC